ATCATCACATCTAGAAAATTAATGGCAGATGCATAATGTCATAAAATAACTGATCATCAGCATTCAACATTTCTTCCAATTGCTTCTTAATTTCTTGCACTTGTCTCTGAAATCATACACACACACATACACACATGTACTGGGGATTGAACCCAAGGATTCTCTTCCACTGAGCTACACCCTCAGCCCTTTGTTATCATTATTATTATTTTAAATTTTGAGGCAGGGTCTCACTAAGTTGCCCAAACTTTCCATCCCCCTGTTTTACTCTCCCAATTTACTGGGATTACAGGTTTGCACAATTACTTCCATCTTTGAAGTCTTTTAAAATTTATAGTTTCCCTTTCCGTCTATTTTATTTTTCCTGTCATTTTATTGAAAAAAAAAACAGGCAGTGTGTCTAACAATTTCCTATATTCTGGGTTTTTCTGAATGCATCCCAACGGTGTCATTTTACTTGTTTTTTAATATCTGTATTTCTTATGATCTGGAAGATATAAAGGCTTGATCAAATTTAAGCTCAATTATTTGGCCAAAATGTTCTATGGGTGATGGAGGCATACAATGCCTGGTCACAATGGCAGCTGTGGCAATTTTTTGAATTTTGGTTAAAACATTCTCATTTTTTAAAGATGAGTTAAAATTCAAGTTTCCAATTGGTTAAGTGGTAGAAACAAGTTAGTGGGAGAGTCAAGAATAAAACTCTAGTCTTTTGATTCTCAGTCTCTGCTCCTTTCGTTATATCACTATATCACTGTCATCAAATGCTGGCTGAGTGACTATACCACAGTGGGTACTCCAGTAGGCATTTCGTAAGATTCAGTCCCACCAATCACAACATAATCCAAACCAGAAATCCACAAGTCATCCTAGGCTTCTCCACGTCTCCTAATTCTGTTAAGTCCTACTGATTTTATTTATATAATCTCTTTCTTATTTGTTTCCTCTTTTCCATGCCAGCACAACTGACTGAGTTCAAACCTTTATCACTGCTTTCCTGGACCAGTACATAGCCTTTTCAACTCTGATATAGCCTCTCCTGTGTAACATGCTTGCTTTCTTCAACCCCCTTTGCCTTATCATCAAAAGATTTTGGAAACTGCAAATATGAATATGTAATTTTCTGCTTTAACCCGTTGGTGTTTCAGTTTCCAGGATGGAGGCCATCCTACTCAGTATAACCTACAGTTCTCTCTATCATCTGACTTTGCCTATCTAACCAATCTTCTGTCACTACTTCCACTCACTATGTTTCAGCCTTATTGAATTACTGAAATTATCTGAATGTGTCAGCAAGGATATGTCGTGATTGTACATATCCTTAGAAAGACTTAGCATTGATCTTTGGGTTACCCCATTCACTAGCAGTGCAATCCAAGGTATACTTACCATCACCTGGCCTCACTTATCTCACCTATATAATGGGAATAATCTCATAGAATTGTTTTCTGTGGGTGAGGAATAAGTGAAAGAGTGCAAAGGAAGACCTAGCACATAAGCACTAGATAACCATGAAATGGTGGTATTACATGCTCATATCCTTTGAGTCCTCCCCACGAACCCCTCCTTTTCCCTTTTGATAACCTAATATATTCCCATTCTCATTTAAGGACTGTGCCCAATTACTCTACGGTCAGAATTAAACTCCTGTACTTAGTATCCCTGAGCCTTGTAGATATTTTAGTTCTGAATCTTATGTATGTTTTTCTCCCTACAAAACTGTAAAAATTTTTAAAGATAAGAACCAGATTTTTTTTTTTTTAATTTGACTTGCTATGTCCTATGACACAGGCTGGATCAATGGAGAGCGCAATAATTCCAGGACTGGTCAGTTGAACTAAATTTATGGGGTTGTGTTGAATTGAAAGGGCCTATCTGACTTTTGTTTTTAGGACTCTATACTTTCCAAATAACTTTGCTGAAATACTTTCTTTGGATAAGCCATCCAAAGAATACAACGGGGTGAATGGCATAAATTTAACTTAACGATAACATTAATTAATTTTTGTTTTCTCTAATATTATGAAGTAGACTAAATAAAACTTCCAGTTGTGGATGTAGGAGAAATAAATGATTAATTAAACAGAACATGCAAACTACTAAGCTAGATTTTCTTTTGCAAACTAAAAAAAAAATGTACTTTGATCTATCAAGCCATTTATTGTGAATTCAGTTTTCATAAACAATTTCAATAACAACAAATCACTCCATACTGATAGGAAAAGACATTAAATATGAAGCCCAGAAAATAAAATGAGGTGACTTAATTTGCATGACAGGAAGTGGCTACCTAAAAGGATGATTTAAAAAAGTTTATTTACAAAAGATTAAAATGACCCTCAAAAGTTCTCACTTTATACTCAGCAGTGTTTTAGCAAAGCCACTGTATCTTATAAAGTCTGACTGATTTAATTGCATCAATTTTAATTTATGAGTCACTGAAGTATATTCCAGGAAGAAATATAAAATAATTCATATTAAAATATTATTGTCCATTAAATCCTTTCCCTTGTTCTTTTTAGGTTACTTTTCTTTTTTAGTTAATGCAGGATTGCATGTGTTGTTAGTAAGTTTTCCTTTATTTCAACATAGTGAAAACTTGTGTCATCATGAAATCTTTAAATGGTTAAAAGCTTGTGCTATTTATTTTAATTCAAATCCAGTGTATTATTATATATATTCGGAACTCAAGCTATTCATCTTCATCTTAACCTTCAATTAAATTCCACAATGCAAACCTCTTGGCACTAGACCCACGTTTCATGTTTATTCAACTGAGCCTGTGTCTTAAAAATGTGTTGAAGTTTCGGGGTTTTCTGGTGAGAATCCACATTCTGACATCACCTTGGCTATGACAGTGATTGGCTGTTGAAAGGCAAAGAAGGGTTTAAAGCCAGCAGGAGCAAGAGAATAAGTGAGTGAGAGAACAGAGGGAACCCTCAATCTGTGCCACTCACTCTCCTCACTCCAGGACTGCCAAAGGGTAAGATTTAATATGACACTTTAATTATCTTACAATCAGACACTCCATAGTTACAGCTATGGACTTGGCTTTGAATTCTTATTTAACTGTGGATCCTATTGCATTGTGTAGAATGGCTGTGTGATTTACTAGTATTGTTTACTATTAAACAGGGATCTCCAATTTTAGATTCTTTCCAAAAGGCTAAGCTTGCTACACTGAGTAAGTATATAATAAGCTCTTAATATTATGAATATGAACTAGAAAATTATGCTTCTTACTATATCATAGATAACTGTTTTCTCATTTTGATGTATTCTAATTCAAATACTATTTGCAAATATGCCTTGATACATGCAGATTTTTTTCATGAATTATATACTGGGTCATTACTGTAATTATACATAATATATTTTCAATATGTTATATATTAGTTTTTAAAGAGTTAACATCCTATAGAACTATGGAAAATATATAGTACTAGAAAATAAATAATTGAGTAATTTATGCTCTTCCCAATAAAAACTTATAATTAAATTCTCAAAACTCTCTTTTAAGAACATTTGAGTTGCTGAGTTATTAGTTATCCCTATAAAGCTCTTTGCTTTCAATGAATCACAAAGTAAATCAAATGAGATTTATGTAGGCAGCCAATTGCTGACTACATGAATCATTTGGTTATTTTTAAAGTATTATTATCCTTGCCATGTTTTTTTTTCTGGTTATTTTATATGTTGCTATGAGAAATTGATGTACTCACAACTCTTTCTAAGTTCAGTGTATTCAAGCTTTCAGTTTCTTAAAATAGGATAGTAATTTTCACAGAGCTGCAAAACAACAATCTTGTTTGCTGGTTGGCTCCACCATGGGCCACAAAAATCAAAGCATTATTCTAAACATTGTAGTAGCCACAAAAGCTTCTTGATCAGGTGGGCTGTAAAGAAGAGTATAGGCATTAAATTCAAAAGTCCACTCTGCCTCAGAGTGTTAGTCAGCATCCACAGCAGCTTCTCCAGGCCTCAAACCTTACTCTGTGTAATGTTTATTGTAATGTGAGATAATCAATGTGGTAGCAATGAATTTTGAGTGATAAGGTCAAAATAAGAAATTGATCTGCAGGGTTTTGTACATTTTAAATGTTACTTGAATTCCAAAGTGTGTTTACAGGGAAATTGCCATGATCACTACATATTGTTTCTAAATTTTGCCAAATTGTCACTATGGATGAGATAGCTCTATCACTTAAATATATATATGAAAATACAAATTAGCAGGTATTAGTAGACTTTACGCTGTTTATTCAACCTCTAAATGATAGAATTTTCAAATAGAATGTAATTAAAATAGGATAAGATTTCACTATCTCCTTATATATATGAGGAATCATTGAGGGACTGGGGATCTTTGCATACCTTCAATATCCAGGTCTGTTCAGGAACTATTTCCATTTGAAGAGTTGCATCTAATTTGTTTCATGGAATTAAAACCTTACCCCTGCCCATCAGCCATGACCTGGAGAAACCTTGATCCATTCTATTTTCAGTCTCCCATACTAGCACATGAAAACTTAAAAGGAACCAGAGAACAATCTAATTAGAGGAAAAGGGCCCCTGATATTCCAAGATGAGACTCTGAAGAACTTTTCTCATAGATTTATCTTTAGGCATGGCTTGTTGGGTGCTGCATGCTATGAGAATAGTATTTCATATATTATGGATATTTTTTTCTGTCCTACATGTATACACACACACAAACACACACACATACACACACACACATACACACACTATATTTCTGCATTATTTTTTTTGCAGTGTTGGGGATCAAACCCAGGGGTTGGGTATGCTAGACAAGCACCTTATTGCTGAGCTACATCCCTAAGTTTCTAGAAACTTGGGTTTAATTGTTCCAATTGATAATCATACAGAAATGAGAGAAAATCAATACTTCATCTTTGAGTATGAGTAAAAAAGTTATGCAGTTAGTGTTTATGTTTATTAACCACATTGCTTCATTAATTCCAGAAGTAATTGCCAAAATGAAGACTGCTTTAATTTTACTCAGCCTTTTGGGAATGGCCTGTGCTTTATCAGTAAGTTATTTATTAAAAACGTGTATCTTTTTCAAGTTTGTCTTTTCATGTATAATAAAGGGAATGTAATAATTAAATGTTCTTTTAAACAGATGAAAAATTTGCATCGAAGGATCAAATTAGAAGATTCTGAAGAAAATGGGGTAATTAACTTAAATATACATCCTCAATCTACACTTACTGTAGATTTATTGCACACTAAATGTAAATATAATATTTATTTTATTTATGCAGGTCTTTAAGTTCAGGCCACGATATTACCTTTACAAACACGCCTACTTTTATCCCCCTCTAAAACGATTTCCAGTTCAGGTAAGTATATGAGTTAATTTTCATTTTCATCCCTTGTAATTTAAAGGGGATCAAATTTAATATTTTAACACCTCAATTCGACTCTCAATGAAAGTAAGCCATTTACTACAGAAAGTTTATTTTTTAACATAATAAAGCTTAACTCCAAGCCTTCTTTTGAAGTGTAGATATGCACACACAGAGTAAAGTCATTTGGGCCCATTTCAGATTGGCACAATAAAACAAACACCTTGGCACATTGATTTAAGGCATTTTGTCTAACATGCTGACAAAAATGGATAATTTTATCAATCATTGACCATTAAGCCAGTGGTAAKTTCACTAATTGTCATTATAGTTGATTCAATATGCAATATAATTGCTTTATAGCTCATAATTAAGTCAATTGGTAGAGAAAAACTTGACTTGATGAACAGCAAAGGCCTTAAAAAATATCTTGATAATCATTGGTAATTGCTGCAGACTTTCTGAATGTTTAACCTGTGGAGGTGACCAGGATMATATATCGTACTTTGGAGCATGATTATAATGGAAGTGTTTGCCTGAGAACTGCAGAGGAAAGAGAGAAATTCATGAAGTGCAGTAAAAACCTTGTGAGACAAACAAAATATCCCTAAAATTTGTAAACAAAAATGAAAAATAAATAAAACTAAAAATAAGGGTTTCCATTTTAGCTGGGTTACCTGTGAAAGGGCCTTTGAAAACTGGTGGGTGTGGTGTTGATTTTAATATGCAACAAACCACAATTGCACTATTTTTATTACTATGCAGTTTGGGTTCAGAGCACCAATTTTGTGCCATTTAACCCAAGACTCCTGGGATACTAACAGCAGTTAGGATGCTAAAACGATGGGTCAGCACAGTGGCTTGGCATTGCATCTTACCATGTGTTGGGTTAACCCATCTCCAACTCATACAATGGTAGGAAATGATCATCTTAAAATATTTCTAGCACCATCATAATTATGTGGAATTTGTGTGGCCACAGAAATATGAACATAAATGATACAAGAGTTGTGGGTTTTCAGAATTGTCTTCCATTCTTTGGTTCACCTCAGGCCCAGAAACAAACAGTGCCCATTTGGAAGTTTATTCTCTTTCTGAAACTAAATAAAGACAATAAATTCAAGTTTTTGACTAGTTCCTCAACTTTTCTGAAGTATCTGATAGTTAGATATATGTGTTCTTACCTGGATATTTTTATAGATATAGTTGTGTGGTCAAACTCAAATGTCCATAGGGAAATGATATTGGAGAAAGTTACAGTTTTCATTCTTGATAGATCCCAAACTATAGATCTTAACATATAAATTTTTCTCAAATTATATGCAGATAGGTCTGGCTCATCTATTGTAGAACTGTAAGACAACTGCTTCAAAATAAACAATATATTTCTCACTCTGTCTGACCTAGTATTTATGACTTATTCTAATTAGTTTGTTTTCATTTAAGTATATTAAGGTAGGTAGGCATTTAATGTAMAAAATTATTACCCTAGAATGCACTAACCTGTATTGGCTTTGAAATTCAGGTTTATTCAAATAAATACGTGTTGATATGCAATCATTTCTAAAATACCAACTTACATGAAATATATCATTTAGATTACAAAACCATCTGAAGTGTATTATAGCTTACATAATTGCCAGGCTGTATTTACAGAAGTATAAATAAGCTTCCTATTCTAAGCTGCTTCAATTGAAAAAAATATTYTTATTATTCAAATGGTATTTGATTAATGTGTGAACTTTTAGGTGGCAAGAAGCTCATTTCATTTTTATCGGATTCAGCTAAGATGGAAGTATTGTAGGTTTTCAGAATTCTTTCATTAAAGATGACTTTCATATACCTGTATATCYTTCACATATCTATGTAAATACATGAAACACTTCTGAAAGAATCAGTAGGACCTAGTGACAAATTAGAAATGAGGCATAAATGAAAGAAAAGGAAAAAAGCAAATGTCAAAGCTTCAAGGCACTCCAAATAGCTTTTAAGTTGTTCTCACTGCAGACACTAATTGAAGAGTGATTGATGTTAAGGTAGGGAGAAAGCTAGAGGCAAGAAAGCCTGTAAAATGGCTGAAACACTCAAACTGAGAAAAACAGCTCTTATTGTGTAAATATACTGTCCTCTATATTTAATTTAACTAAATAGAAATAGTTTCAATAAATAATAAACTGTATTCGCTATCTGGGCTGGGAAAGGCACAACCTTTAAGGTCATGGCAGTGGAAGGGCAGGTCTAATTATTCTCTTATCCACCTGAAGTTATTCTTGACTCAGAGGGACAAGCATTCGTTTCCTTGGATGGATGAATGGCTGTCTGAAGAATGAGGTCAACAGGAACAGCCCTAAGTGGGACAAGGACATGAGTGTTTTCTGTCATCTGATTTCTAACCAGACGTGAGAGGTCCTTCTGCCACCATATTCTAAGTTCAGGATATTTAACTGAGTCATCAGAATCAAAGATAGAATTTTTAGGGCAGGAAATGACAGAATCTGAAGCCAGGTATTCTTGTGATATCTGGTGCCAGTAAAGGTASCTATAGAAAGGAAGAAAATACAGTTGGGGTTATCTTTGGTTGAAAAGTGGAAAATCTCCTCTACTACTTTGAAGGTTCTGACAACAAACATTTAGATTTAGATTTCCTCTCAAAAGATAGTCAAGTTTGGGATTGGATATGTTTCAGTGTTAGGATAACTGGGTAAGGCCCCTGAGTTGGTCCCCAATATCACACATAATACACACTGAAGTGCAACTCATTAACTTGTATTTTTATATATAGAATCCTTGGTTTAATTTAACCTAATTTAATATTAAGGTTATTAGAGGGATGGCACTCAATGAGTAAATGAGTAAATTTTTCTCTTATATTTTTATCTCCCATATATAACTTTATTTAAAAAAATTAAAAATTAGCTTTAATTAGATTGTGTAGATTTAATATTTAAAATCAAACTATAATTTAAATTCACCAAGAGAGCTCATCATTTAAGAGAATCATTTAATAACAACTTATATTTTATAAAAGCGAATTATCATTTCATTTATATTTTTTTAAAAATTACAATCTTAGTCCAAAATCTTCCTTAATAGATTGGGGGAAGTTATAGATTTTGGAGGCTTCTGACTCTTTTTTAATAAAGTTTTAAAAATTGGGACTAATAATTCCTTCATTCTTTCAGAATTAGACAATTCAATGATTTGTTGTTACAGTTTTTATATACAAMATATTTTGACATATTGTCAATGCTTTGAGGATTGAAAATGGGGTATTTCACATCTTTTTTTTATTCCACATCTTGATCATTATAAATGCCTCTTTGTTTTTAGCCTTATTTTATTTCTAATTCAATATCCTAATATCTTTCTCACAAGCATATGAAACCTGTTCTAAGTAAATAAACCAATCAGGCTGGTAATACTAATCAGTTTATGTAACTATGTATGTGTGTTTTATTTTATTTCAATCAGTAGAAAATTTTAATTGCTGTGAATATATTTGTAAACACATTATATATATACAATCTATACATTTTAGGGAAGTAGTGACTCTTCTGAAGAAAATGGAGATGGTGATAGTTCAGATGAGGAGGAGGAAGAGGAGGTAAGAAATTTTTCAATCTTTTCACAAAACATCAGGCAACACACACACACACACACACAAAAAAAAAAAAACAAATAGAAAACTAGTCTACTGTAATCCAGACTTAGCAAATAGCCATCACCACTTTACCAACTGCCGACATCTCCTATTTTGGACAAGTGAAATGTTATTTAATTAGCACCAACTAAAATAACCTGTTTAAAACACTGTTGCAGTTTGGGGTTAAAGCTACCTCTAAGTGGTACACAAAAACAAAATTGTCTCCATTTTCAGTGAAAAAGTATAAAATCTGTTAAAAAGAAACAGAAGTTAGTATTTACATTCAGGTGAATAAAAAAAAGCATGATGGTTCATGACAAGTAAATAATTCTACGCTCAGTGCAATGTTTGTTTTAAGGAATAAACTTCAGAAATTCAGTTTCCTAGTTGTGTGGCATGTAAAAGCCAATTCTTTAAGAGTGGTATTGTGACTCATCTGCCTTTCATAATGTACAGAATAGGATTCTTTTTTAAATGGAATTTCACATTTTTTCCCTAGTAACAAAATTCATGTTCTTATGGAAATGAAAATAATCAAGATGAACAAATACCTTCCTATATAGTTCTATGAATTAGTGTAGACCATGGCTAAAATTCATCTACATGCCTTGGAAATTGTGGCATCATATTTATAACAGAAACTAAGGAAACATACAAATTAGGCTGCACTTTCCTGGATAGTCAATTATAGTTGTCCAGGAGTTTGGGAACCTTCTAAATTCAGGGATTCTTAGGTGGCTTTTATGAATAGACAATGACTGTCAAAAATRGATCTTGTATAAGTGCCGAAGACAAAATGGTGTGGGAACTTGAAAAGGTGCAAATCATTAGTTTGGTTTTAGTTTTTTAAGTAACATTCCCTGTACCATAATTACACTAATAGCTTGAAAGTAGAGTTTACAGGAATGCCAAAGCAGTACCAGGAAAATACTACCTACTAAATCCCACAAAATTTTGCCTTGAGTTCCACAAGCAATCTTTATAAGAACTGAGCTAGCGTTATGCATTTAACTTCATTTACTTGATGTTCAGTGATTGTAAAACTACCTTTACACTAGACTTCTCAGATTGCACACATTTTAGCAGTGATTCTTCATTTGTTGTGCTGATGGTTGAGGACAGAGAAAGAAAGATTAGGTGTCCTTTGGGGGTCTGATGAACCCATGCACAGTCAACATTTTGTCAACCACCTCTGAATATTTGTGATCCTTCCAGATCTTATCCACCAAACCATCTTGACTCGGTGGCCCTTAGACTAGAATAAGGCTTGGGTGAAGACCTATGCTGTGCCTTCTTTTGTATCTCCTCATACTACCATAGTTTCATAAATATATGGTGCCCAGTAAATATTTGATAGTTTAGATTTGAAACTTAAGAGGAATAAGTGCTCTGAAGATCATTCTTTAAAAGTAATAATGGAAAAGTGTGTGAATAAATATAACTGGGATCTTCCATCCTGAAGAGAATGGAAAATGCTTTTTTGCTCATTTCTTACCTAAAATTTCATCAGCAATTTAGGTTAAATATAGCCCCCAGGAATTATATTCACATGAGGAAAGAGGAAAGTACTTGGGCACATGTTCTCTCACATGAGAGAGAGGTGGGGTGGAGAGGGAGAAAGAGAGGGAGGAAGAGAGAGAGGGAGTGCAAGCGCTATCTTCCAGCTACAATAATTATTCTAACTATGAATATTTTCACTAGGAGACTTCCAATGAAGAAGAAAATAATGAAGATTCTAATGGAAATGAAGATGAGGAATCTGAGGCTGAGAACACCACACTTTCTGCTACAACACCTGACTATGGGGAAGAGGTTACACCTGGAACAGGGAACATGGGCTTAGCTGCAATCCAGCTTCCAAAGAAGGTAATAATTCTTCCCAATTGTTAAGTCTGCTATTATGTTTTTGCTGCAATCTAAGGTAAGCCCAACACTACACACACAATGTTTTATACTATCTTTGTTCACTCACCGAAGAATCAAGGACAAATAAAATTTCCTTTTGTACAAATAAGGAAAGATCTTCTCCCAGGCAAATTCTGCTGGTGTTATTACACTGCTCCTTTTACATTATAAAGAAAGATTAAGGATAAGCATCAAAAAATGGATAAAAATCCTGAGAGGTGCCATTGAATTTCAGAGGAGGGTATTCCAAGACAGAGAAAGTGAATAGCAAAGCTTTTGGAAATATCTCCCCAAGAGAAGGCCTGTCAGGAACATTTTGTCCTTATGAAACCATCACAAAGCTACTTATTTTGAATTTTTAAAGTCCCCTCCAATTCTTTTTGTAAGTTAAATTGGCCTCAATTAAAAAATGTCATCTGTTCCAAGGCTGTCAGAACAGAATATTGTGTTGGATGAAGGCATGGACTTACCTTTAAAATTTTTACAGCTATATTTGGATTCTTTCAAACCTTTCCTTTCAGGTTGGCGATATAGGAAACAAAGCTACAAAGAAGAAGGAAAGTGATGAAGAAGAGGAGGAAGAAGAAGAAAATGAAGAAAACGAAGCAGAAGTGGATGAAAATGAGCAGGGCATAAATGGAACCAGCACCAACAGCACAGAGGTAGAAAATGGCAACGGCAGCAGTGGGGGAGACAACAGGGAAGAGGAAGGTGGGCAAGAAAGTGTCACCAGGGCCAATGTCAGAGGAACCACACAGCAGAACAATGGCGGCTACAAGACAACAACACCTCAAAATGGTGGGTTTCAACCCACAACCCCACCACCGGAGGTCTATGTGACCACCTCCCCGCCATTTGGAAGAACCACCACTGTTGAATATGAGGGGGAGTACGAGCAAATGGGCACCAATGAATATGGCCATGACTATGAAGTCTATGACAATGAGAATGGTGAGCCTCGTGGGGACACCTACAGAGCCTACGAGGATGAGTACAGCTACTATAAGGGGCAGGGTTACGGTGGCTATGATAGTCAGAATTACTATTACCATCAGTGAAGGCTCAGCCTGGGATGAATTCATCCATTTTCGTTCTGCATCTGGCTGCCATTTTTAAAGTTCAACTCAGGACRGTGCTATATAACAAATGGGCATCTTACAATGTGGAATGGTAATACAGTTCCAAAGTGATTTTCTGTAATTGCTTCTGTGAGGAATGGGTTTCTTGTTGCTTTTCTCTGATGTTACTGAAAGGTTGTTGTAAATCAAAGCCATTTATCAAGCAGTACACCAATCCCTGAGATGGAATTAGATGGAATGTTTTGAGGATGTAGCCCTATATATACTGTTTGTAACCTGTTTGCACTATTGCTAACTGCCTAAATATATTCTTTGTACAAGAAGTGCTTCTAAGAAGGGATCCATTGAGATTAACGGCACTGTATTCAATAAATGTGTAGTTCTTAATCACACTACCTAACACTGTATATTAACTTCAAATATCATTCTCATGTACTTTTTATGTGATCTATATGTATATTCTATGAGTTTTATCACAAATAAAATGCAATCCTTAAAGTATGTTGTAATAAAGAAGAAAAATGAGGGATTCAGAATGCATAAAGATTAAATAAGGAACAATTCAGCTAAAGGAGGAAAGTTTATTTCCAAAATGGTTTAAAACTAGAAGGAACTGTAAACATTTGAATAAATTGGCATAACTAAAATTTTACCATGCTTGTGGGCAGGGTCAGCGATAGGCATTAGGTTAATGAATGACTTTTCTTAGGGTTGCCAGATTTAACAAATATAGAATGTCTAGTTAAATTTGAACAATAAACAGATAAACAATGAATAATTTTTAGTATGAGTATGTCCTGCAAATATTTAGCCTCTGTGAAATATTTGGGATATACTTAAACTAAAAAAATGATCCACTATCTAATATTCAACTTTGGATATCTTGTGTTTTTTTCTGGCAACCTTAACCTTGCACTATTTGATTTTATCTGGGATAGGAGGTGGATAGGGAAAAATTTTTAAACACATGGACACAGACACAGACACACACACACACACATAGCTGATGTACAAAGGCTTAGCATTAATTTACACCTTTAACATAAGCCTGAAAGCAAATTTCAAATGTGTGTAGTAAAAAAAAAAATAGTCAGAAGAAGTAAAAAGAACAATAATTAATTCACCTTTAATTTATTCAATACAAGATGTAAGGACATCTATAGAGTCCAGACAGTGTTTAGACATTGAAACAACACACACACACACACACACACACACACACACACGCACGCACGCACATAAATAAATAAAGAACCTTATCCTCAGAATGATTTCAGTTTGATAGCTACCAGTGTTAATGTGTTATATGCACCACCTACTCATTGCCTCTAACATTATTTTAAGAAATATGAGGCATTTGGAAGAGTTGGAAGAATAGTCAGTACATAAGCATCATTATTCTACCTTTCACTTAGACTACGAGTGGTTAATGCTTTGCCACCTCTGTGTTCTGCATTCTTTGTGCCTCATTGTGTGTGGTTTGTGCGTACACATCTTTGCCAAACCATCAAAGAAGAGGTTGCAGATGTTATGATGCTTTATCCCTAAATACTTCAGAATTTGATGTAAGAACAAAGAATTCTCCAACATAGCCACAATACCAGTTTCATTCTCATTCTCAAGAAATTTAACATAGACACATATATGTACTATAAATTTAGCTAGACATTCAAATTTAACTACACATTCTATATTTATTATATTTGTTATTATATATATATACACACACATATATGGAGATTTATACTATATAAATCCAAATTTAACTAGATAGCCTGTATTTATATTTGTTAAATCTGGCAACTCTGACAATATATATTCATATATAAAATATATATACTTAGGTACACACATATATGATACTATATATAATACTTATATAATTATATATTGTAATAGAATGCATTATGGTAATTATAAAATATATCATGATTACATATGATATATTTTTTTAAAGAGAGACAGAATTTTTTAAATATTTATTTTTTAGTTTTCAGTGGACACAACATCTTTATTTTTTTATTTTTATGTGGTGCTGAGGATCGAACCCAGTGCCCCGCGTATGCCAGGGGAGCGCGCTAACGCTTGAGCCACATCCCCAGCCCATGATATATTTTATTATACATCATTATAAAATTATATATGATATCACTATATTATGTATTATATATTATACAATAATATATGAATATAATATAATCATTTAACCAAATATAATATTTACATAAAATTATATATAATATTATTTTAGATTATATATTATTATGTCATCTAATTATATACCACAATTATATTATATATTTTATAATAATTATAATATATATTTTATATTATTATATGTAATATATCATAATGATATCTGATGCCGTATATCATATACTATTACATAATATGTACTATATAAACATCATATAGTATGTGATAATATGTAATATTATATATTAGATTATATTCATGCATTTTTTTGATGCTAGGGATTGAACTCGGCCACTTCAACACTGAGATACATCCGCAGTCATTTTTAATTTTTATTTTCAGACAGGGCCTCTCTAAGTTGCTGAAAGTCTTGCTAAGTTGCTGAGACTAACCTCGACTTGCAGTCCTTTTGCGTCCATCTCCTGAGTTTCTGGGATTATAGGTGTGCACCACCACAACTGTCAATATTTTAAAATATGCATGCCTATTCAAAATTTTCCAATTACCCCAATACTGCCTCCTATTATAAACTCATCTAATTTTCACAAAACTCTATCAGGTAGGTATTATTATCATAACCAATTTTACTGATGAAAAGACTGGGACACAAAGAGATCACATGCAGTCAAGCTAGGGTTAAACAGAGGCAGACTGGCTTGGCACCTCCTGTGTTCTGTACCGCCATGCAATGCACATTTGTATGTATTCATCAGCAATGGATGAGCAGGAAATCACTAATGATGAGAACATTACTGGAAAATGTGCTTTGTCTTACATCACAATTTTCTCAAAAATCAACCATATTTTATGACATGAATCCTAAAGGACATTTTCATATCTAGGATCTTCTCCAGTTTTTGGTGTATCTTTCTGTACAGGAAGCTTGTTATAGTGTATCTGCTCTGGAATCAGATGGGCTTGAATAATGGTCTTATCAACAGTAAATGAATTTCCTTCTCTAGTCTTTATTCTCTCATCTCCTATGTGAGGATGGTCTTCAGTGGACTATTCTTCAGGTCTGACCCGTCATGAGGAACTCAGCATCAGCACACGGGTCCTTTTTTCCCCCTCTCCCTGTCCTTGCTCCCTCTTAACAGTTAGGTATATTGTAATAAAATCATCCAGGAATTAAAAGAATGTTTTTGGAAATTGAAGAACTCTTTTTTTCTTGCCCTAGTATATCTTTTTAGAGTGAAAGTTTGTGATGAGATTKAGGGCTTGGGACCAGTGTGATCAATACTATTTGTTAGATTACATATCTTATCATCCTTAGCTATCTCAATATATCATGGAATCATYAAGTCAGATTGGGAAAGATCTTTAAACTTTATGAAGTGTATTTACTTTTTAATATTCAGAAGTTATTCATTTTACATTGTAAAAGCTGTCAAGTTCTTTGTTTCTTTTGTAGCTTTTGGCCCATAGAATGTGGGTTTCCTCTCTTTACTACCTAAAGGATTTGAGCAAGCTCATTTCCGTCCTCAAGTGCAGAATGCTTCCCTCTGAGACTTCAAGTATCTAGGAGTCTCCAATAATCTGGTAAGTTTTTTGAGGAAAACTGATACATTACACACTTGGAATGACCAACAGTAGCAGAGGAGATTTCCATGCCTTCGCCAGTACAAGTTGGTAATCAGTGAGGCCCATGGACACTAGTCACTCAGGGCCTAGATGAAGGCAACATAAAGTTCCTAAGGAAGAAAAGGATGGGCTATCAAGGGCTGTGATGTGACCCACCTTCATGGATTCCAGCTTTGACCTTTTTGTTGGTTTTCTCAGCCAAATTACAGAATACCTGCAGTATGGCAGCCCTGCTCCCATTGAAATATTTTTTCCTACCTATGACCCTAGATTTTAATTTCAACCTCCTTCTGCTTTCCTAGCTAACTAGCCTCCTGGCCTCATCCCCTTTGACCTTCTCTCACAATAGCTCTATTTCCTGTTTTCTCTGATAATATTTCTTGATGGTCCAGCTGGGAGAAACCAGATGAGAATTCCAATTATTAGAGTAGAAAGAGAAATGATTGTATTCTGCCCAGGAAATAATCCTTCTTCCTTTGAGAATGAATCAAATGATTCCTTTAAATGGAGAAAAGATAAATTAAAACAATCCATGCTCATATTTGGAGGGAACATGAAATCCAATATTTGTATCCTGCTATTCATAGAAAATTCTTTTGTGATTGTTCAAACAGAAGCCATTCTGCAGCTGTGGCAGAGTCCTAGRTACATATAAATATCCATTCTCCATTCTTCCTCTCTCATAATAATAATAGAATATTCCCTGTCTTTTAAAGAGCTGGGCATGTGGCTTTCACTTTCCTGGATAATTAGATATAAATATTTTTATTTAAGCTTTGTGCATATATACTTGTGAGGCATGCATGTATACATGTTAGCCTCGCTGACTGCCCACTTGTACTGGTGTAATGAAAATTTTCTCTGCTACTGTTGGTTACTTCAACTGCATGCATTACCAGTTTTCTCCTAAAAACCTACCAGATTATTGGTTGGTCTCTGAAGAGAAAGACTATTCCCCTTTCCCTCACCCCAATTTCCCTATCCTACTGGCTGGAATTCAACCATGATGGAGAGCCACCTATGACGGTGTACATGAAGGCAGTAGTTTAGGATAGCAGGTGACAAGCTGGAGAATAGTCTGACTTCAAGGAGTGCCACATCTGCCCTGTATACCAATGTATAAAAATGAACTTCTATCTTCTTTAAGTCACTATTATTGTAGGTCTCTGTTAGTTATAAACAACTTGTGTTCTAACTCAGAA